GGAGGAAAGGGCATCGCTAGGATCGATCGGACGCTACTAGTAGCTCCTGGCCGCTTGTGTGATAAGACTTTCGGTCTGCTGGCCCAGTAAGTCCAAGCCCTCCGAGTCCAGCTCTTTTTGCCGTGGCTCAGCAAGACGTAGAGCACAGCAGTGCGATACATCCCTGGATCCAACTTGGGTTCATTTGGGTCTCTGTTGGCAAATTCAACGGTCGAGCTTAGCGAGAGCCCAGTGACCGGCCAAGTTGGGAAAGGAAAGATGGATACTCTATCAAGAACAAATCTGGTGGTAGACTGTCTCAAGATCTGGTCATAGACCCATAGCATAATTTCGTCGGGACGCCAGGCCATCGCAGATCAGGTGCGCAGACCGTCGATCCGAATCCGACTCCTCGAACCGTCGGAGGAGTCGAAACATGATCCTCTGAACGATCGATGCTGGAGGGGTTCCTCCGGTTGGATCTGTCTTCCACTGCAGACCTTTGTATTGGCTTGGACTTCAAGACCTTGCGAAACTCATTCTGTTTGGTGCTCCAAGACTTTGCTAATCTAGCTTCGAAATGCTCGTTCAACAAGGTGCAAACACCTCACTTCGCCTAACATGCTAGCAAGTGAATTCGACCTCACTGGCGACCTTCATCCCAGTGCTATGCCTTGCCGCAGGAGCTGCACAGCCTCTACCGCGAAGGTGGAGAAAGTGGTGAAGCCTCCACAACAAGCATGGCAGCTTCAGTGAGAAGTTTCTGTGAGGTACTTATATACAACAGTATATATATATATATAGAACTCACCTACTCTGCCAGCAGGTCCCAACCCCATTCACATTCATCCATCCTCCTTCAATGGTCTTGTGCGACTGGCGACTGGCGAAACTCGCTCGCCCAAGCCCAAGCGCTGCGGCCTCCACAGAAGCCAGTGCCCAGCAACAGCTTTAGCGCTGGGTTGGCTTTGATGCACAGAGTGATGAGGCCCAGAAGGCCGCAGCCCATCCAATTCACCAGTAACGTACTCCACACCTTGGTGATAAGGCAAGGCAAATCAGGGGCGATCCATCGAAGTAAAACGCCACTTAAATGGGTGAACCACGGGTACCCTATAGGAGGGTCCCACCTTTTTATAGCCTGCACCTGCGATTCGAAGCCACAGACTTCTGAGAAAATGACCACAACCTCAACATAGGTGGTGTATCACACAAAATGCTCACTAAGCTTCACTGGGATTCACTGGGCGTCTCTATGCTGACCGGCCATGGCACGGACCATCCCCTCAAGGCTCCGAACTTCGAGGCAGCAAACCTGCGATCTGGTGGTGGGATCCACGTGATCTGGTGGCGGGATCTGGCTGGGGTCCGAACCAAAGGGGCGGAGGGAGAGAGGGAGGAAACCAAGGCAGGAACCTGACCTCCATCGTCCCAGCGGGTGGGCGGGGGGGTTCGGAGACTGGAGTCGTTCGGGACTTGGCCCGTCCAAAAGGAGGTCTTCTCTTTCAGTTGTGTGTTCGGATCACTGCATCTGTTGAATCCCTGTGCGGTTCATCTTGATGTAGACGGTTGATGAATAACACCCCCATCTGGAGAGGTGCTACAATCCAAAAGGAGGTGCTCCTTTTGAAAGCAACTAGCTGCTAGTAGAGCGTCTCAGGGCCTTTGGTCCAGATCAAACACACACGTTCTTTTCTTTTGGAGCGGGGGTGGTGAACTTGATCAGCACAGGCCGGGCTCATGGTTTGTCCATCCAAATTCCGTGCTTCGCAGGTCAACCCGCTTGGATCTGATATAATGGTTGATCTGGGGCTGAGTCTTAATGTTACAGCTGTGTCGGATAGGTCAAAACCCCGATGAGAGGACATGTGTCAAAACCCCGATGGGGCGGGGGCTTTAAGGGAGCAAGCTCAGACCGGCACACGACGGGTGCCTGCAGACTGCCCCCAGGCCGCCACCCAGGCAAACCAGCACCGGCTCGGCCACTGCCCGTGTGGGCGTGGTGTGCGGTGCCCGGCTGACGCGGTGCGTGTTCACGCAGAAAGCGGCGCTAAGACCAGTGATGAAGGGGAGCAGAAGCAGTCGTGGTCCTGCTGAGCAGTCGTGGTCTTTAGGTCAACAAATCAAACTAAGGGACAAATCCACGGGTGATGAATCGGAAATGGTTTTGTCAGACAGACCGGCCCAACTCCCATAAAAGATGTTGCCATGGCATTCCGCAAAGTTCTGGATTCGGGAAGTGCCGCCATGTTCCTTGTTTTATTTGTGGGATCTGCGTCTACTTGGGCCTCCCTCCCGGTTTAGAAAGGTGTGAATGCAACAAGAGTGAGTGATCAAGCCCCTTAGCTTGGTATTCAACTACTCTCACTGGAATAATTATCGTGGAAGTTCCTGAGAGTTGATAGCAAACTTAACATGGAATTGTGCACTTCCATCTTAGCGGTTTGTTGGGCCCAGAGGTATTAGTAAGAACTTGATGATCCTTGACGATAGGTCTATTGCATTGTCCATAGTTCCCTACAGCGCAGAGCTGACATGGAAGTACAAACTGCCTTTTGTCGCACCGTTTTCATCCGTTTTCCACGTGCACGCCGCCAAAAAGAGGAACCAAGACGCACGTGTAACTGCGAAAGGCTCCTACCAGGTGTGAATGGATCCCATAGATCGAGAATGGATCCCATAGATCGAGAATGGATCCCATGGATCGAGAATGGATCCCATGGATCGAGATTTCAACCAGCGAATCTTTCATGAATGATAGGGTTAACCTATCGTGTCTCTTTCATGAACTGGTGACCATTCCAGCAACGGGCAAACCTTCATGTCATGTCAGTAGTGGTCAAACACTCCGAGAGTGCTGGAGACGTTCATAGCTTGGAAAGAAGAGCCAAAAATAAAGAGGATCAAAAGAGAGAACACACCAACGCGCCCCATCTTGGCAAGCCACCTCTTGGCAAGCCACCTCTGGAAATTCCGTGCAATTCAATCCACCTGACGAACATCATCCCAACCAATCTCAGCCGCGGTCCTGTTGATTTCTTGGAGCGACGCACCGGCGGCGGGCCCTGGGCGCCGCTCGTCCCTCCGGCGCGGGCGCCTCCAAGTGGCGGGCGCCTCCAAGTGGCGGGTGCCACGAGGAGCGCATCCATCGCACCGCTTGGCTCTGAAGGATGAGAATCCTGACTCTCCCTGCAACAAGGCAAAAAACGTGGCTGTTTTTTACCAGTGATGTCCTTGCAACAGATTAGATGTTCTTGAAAGCAATTTACAGTAGATGTCCTTCATCCGGAGGATGCAATGTTCAGATGACCCATCCAATTGGTTGGGGGTTCTCTTTCTTTTTGGTACTTCTTCATGCTCCAGTGGACGCCAAGACAAACCGGAGGCGAGGAGGCGCTAGCCGGTGGTGCAGCCGGTGGTGCAGCCGGTGGTGCAGCCTGTATGATGTGGGTCAGACTTGCCATCCGAAGAACGTCGCTGATGCACAGAGCATCCGACGGTGTTCCTGTCTGTTCACAAGAAACCAGTGTACATTTTCTCCAAGAAAAGCAGCTCCAAACCGCTGCTAAACCCAGCATTCAATCTCTGGCTGAGCCCAACCTGAAGAACCTTTCTTTGTGTTCCGGACCACATAGAGAGCCCTTGCAACACATCATCCAGTGGGCAGCTCACTTCCATCCTGAGAACTTGTTCCATCCCAGTCAAGATTGGAGTTTGGATCTTCAGTACGTCGCAAACCATCGGCCGGGCCAGCAAAATGGTGAAGCTTTGTGTTCCTTGAAGCCCACTGGGGTGTCTGTCTGTCCAGGTTGGAGGAGACTGCCAAATCAATGGTTCCCCACCGAAGTATATGAGTCGATGTACTCGGCACGCATTTCGTTAGAGCCCTGCAAAGCAAGTAGCTTCCATGATCAGCTTAAAATACGTAAAATATCACTGGTGAAGTGGGGTTATGTCCCATTTTTCTATTGTTATGTATCTATGGTTCATAAAACTCACCGTAAGATTGCAAATCGAGGGTTCACATGGTGGAACCGCAGATGTTGGCAAAATGTGGTCCGGCAACAAGATGAGGGGACCATCAAACTACTACAGTACTGCAAGCTCCCTTCTCTCCCTTCAGACCTTTGGCTATTGGATGGTTTGATCATTCCACCCACATCCCCCATCAAAGAACCCTGATTTCAACACTTCCTGACAGTGGCTAGTAGTTTGGTTGTGAACCATTGATCCAAACACCTGGACCGACCTGGATGCAGAAGACCCATCCCTTTGGGCAGAATCTTCGGCAGACTCTGGATTCAAACCCACCAATTGGATTGGTCATCTTTGTTTTTCCAGACTCTACATTAGGGAATTCACTCCATTTTTGTCTTGACTTTCCTGCCAAACAAAGACCCTGGTTGACTGGTCGAGGTGCCGCTTTCGAAGCCAGGTCGGGCCACGAATGGCACATCCATACGGTGCAGCGTTTCAGGTACTGCACCGTGCTCGAGTCTTTCTCTTCCAAGGAGTTTGCTTGCTTGCGTTCTGCTCGAGATAAGATGGAGGAGATAGCAGAGGGAAGAATATGTTCTTGGGTTTCAAGCGCGTCAATCATCAACTTGATGACATCTCCCGTACATTAGCATGCTGAAGGAACCAGCTCATGAATGACCCATGGACAACCTATATAATCTCATATAATAATAATATCTCTATGTGTATATATATAGTTATATATATGTATGTATATTTTGTGTGTATATGTATATATATATATATATGTGTGTGTCTATACTCTTAAAGTGTCGGTGTGCAACCTGGTCACACCACCATTTTGAGCCAACATGTCTGCAACCCAACGCAATGACTAAGGAAAAGCGCTCCCTGCCAGAGGTTGAAGGCTTCCTTAGTTAATTGCCTTGCTAAAAACTCACATGGACCCTCAAAATGCGACCCTCGGACTCCTCAGCCTCAGAGCACGATCAATCCTACCACCCCTACCCCTACCACCCTCCGGTCGCGCGTCTCAGAGCGACCTGCAGATGCCGCATCCAACCATAGAAGCGCAAACGATCCACGCGCGAGCCACCTGGCTCGGTGATGCGCGCCGCTGCTCCCGCTTCTCGGGCGTGGCACGGTGGGTGGGGCGGGTCCGATGACGCTCCATGGTTTCGCGTCATCCGAGAAGAACCAAAGCTCTTGTTTAGAAGAACGCCTCATCATAGACTCATAGACTTGACGTTCGTGGGCCACGTTTTGGAGATGAAAAAAGGGTCAGATGGTTCCATCGAAGCAGGTAGTCGTCCCTTGTCAGCAAGGGTAGATGTTCGTCATCCAGAGTAGATGCAGCAAGGACCTCTTCCCACAGGACCTCTGGAGTTCAGTTGTAGGCGCTGGTTACCAGGACCCCCCGACTCAAAGACCCCAGGAATAGTTTTGAAATGTTTTGAATGATTCTGACACCCTCAAAACCAAGGTCTTCGAGTTCTGAACTTGCGATGAAAGATGCCCACGAATTCACACACCGGACATCCGGATGCCCAGCGAATTTGGGGCTCTCCAAGCACTCCCCAGAGGGTCCTTTGTATTCGTGAGGCAGTCTGCAGATCTGCAGTGTTTTGTGGATGGGTTGTTGGTTCTGAAGGAATACCATATGCCCAGGAAGATTGACATGGAACTCTTCCCGGGGCGTATCCTTCTGTGATGGCCATGGTTCCAGGATCGACTTTCTGGTCCTGTTTGGAGGTTCCTGCCGTGCACCGTGGAGCAACACCAGTTGACGGTTCCATCTCGCGGTTTCTTTGGCTGTGTTTGTCCCTTGCGTCCAAAAAGTAGGTCACTTTTCCTTGACTGATGCTTTACGTGAGACGTGACATGAGTCATGAGATGCATTTGATCTTCTAAATCCACATGCTGTCGCAGAAACTTGCAAGCCAGAAACCAAAGAAGTTGACCCTCTGGCTTCTCGTCGAAGGTGACTCATGTGAAAGCTTTGGATTGGATCGTTGCCTCGTTGCTAGGCATCGATTGAGCCGGTAGGGGCATGGACTCGACCCTTGAAGTCATGGCAGTCGATCTGTAGCAGTCACCTGGTCGCCCACACCGTCCAACCGTCCAAGTCCAAGAACCGATTCCCAACACCTAGCGGCCCTAGCGGCGGGTCGAGCAGGTGATTTTCAGTACCAAACACCGGAGCACCATCGATCCGTCCCCCACCGGAGCAGTCGACCGGGGCGGCGCTCAGTCGTCCCAGCCTTTGCAGCGCGCCCGAGGGCCGCAGTCGGCCAAATCCAGCGTCAGGGGGTTCAGAAGGCGACACCTGGCGAAAGCGAAAGGCGGACACGCTTTCGCAGAGTGCCGATCACCCGGACCCCGGGAGAAGAAGAGGTGATCATCTACCTAGTAGATCCCACAAGCAGGTTGGTGAGGATTTAGATCCTGCGAAGGATCCAAATCAAAGTATGCCTACAACTTGTTGTACTCACCTGAAGCCTCTGCTGTGGAATGAAGCCAACTGTACCCAAGAATCCGCGTCGAAGCGAACTTGCAAATCTTGCCATTCACTCAATCCGTGCACCATCATGCACCCGTCCATGGTCAAAGGGCAGATGTTTCAGTCGGTCCAAAGATCAGACCAAGATCCAAGACCAGATCCAACTGGCACGTGCCTCTTGTAGCTGCAGCTCAGCTCTTCATACCTGTTTCACCCGATGTTTCACACCCGATGTAAGTGGCACCCTCGAAGGTCAGGTGTTTCTTATTAGTTGTGTTTGTTTGATCGTCGTTAGTGTTGCTCTTTTTGTGTGTCTTTCATTTTCGCTGTCCGGAAGCAACACTGCTGTCCATCGAACTCGTTGCTGTCCTCGCTTGGGAATAGCTCGTCACACCTCCCCGAAATCGGGGCAACGATGGAATCGGGGGTGTGCAGGAATAGCTTCTGCTAGATCTCTGCGAAGTACAAAATGGAGTCGACCGAACTCCAGAAGTGGCAGTCCAACTTACGAACTTGCCAGTCCAACCGAATCCCGGCGCACTGTTCGTGTGCCACTTGGAGCTTCTCTTGGATGCGGCTCTTGCTCCAGATGCCCTCGGTCCTGGCACGATCAATACTCAGAGCAACAGCCTGCTTCTCCGCGACCGGGCAGGGTGTGGATCGCTGGGAGAAGGTGCAATGGAGCTCGCTTGTTGATCCACTATGAGTTTGAGAAGGTCGATGGTGTGGTCGACCCTCCCTCGAATCATGGAAGTCACTTAGTGGAAAACCGGTTTGTAGACGAAGATGGTCATCCTTTACAGAGCCATGCCATCCACGTAACCAATGATTCCAGAAGGCTCTTTCATTCTCCAATCCGCCTGAGGACAGAATTTGAATTTGAGAGATGCCCCCGTGCGTTTCACAGCCGAAACATACCGAATACCAATCAGTTCAAATCCTGGTCCCCAAGCTGATCCCCCTCAGCTGCCCCGTCCGGTACATGACACATCCCTCGAAGACCCAATGGCTCGCAGCGGCCTGGAGCCGGCGATGCATGGCTTGTCCCTATGGAATGTGGGGGTGACACACACAGACAGGTGGCTGTGGGTCCACATTTTCCCCCACCAAACCAGGTTCAGATCCCTTCATATAGGACCTAGATAAATACAGTAAATGGAATTAACTTTCCTATCCACCAAAAGGATGTATAGCTGATAAAGATAAGAGGGTACAACATACGAAACACATAAAAAGATATAAAAGATAATCAAAAAAAAAGCTGATAAGAAGATTACACCATGGATTTGATGGTTTACTTATGGAGAAATCACTATGAATAAACATAAACGTTGGTAAGATTTTTATATGAGGAATTAATAATATTTGCAAATCTTTCGTTTCATAGATTACTATGTTTATTCAATGTAATTCTCTATATGAATGCTTTTGCTATGTTTTTGTAACCTACAGACTCTAGACTATAGATTTAATGGTCACTTTTGTTCCTTGGCGATTCCCTTAAAAATCGTTCATTAGATTTGATGGTTACCAGGAACCCGTAGGGCTTTGAACCACGGCCAGGCCGATGTTGGATCTTCAACCGGTATCCGGTATCCTAAGCGATGGGCCCAAGCCGACTTCGCCCAACTACTGGGCACGACTGGGCACGACTACTGGGTACTGGGCACAACTGATGCAATTGATGCTCGAGACCGACACGACCGCGTTTCGGCCCAAAACGGGCCGACAGAAATTCCAAACCCCGAACTCGTGGACCGTCGAGCTCTGTGTGAGCGTTTTGTCCTACAGAGGTGGTTGGGAACTCCAAACTCCTCCATCTGCAGCCGGGGTCGAACGACCGACCGACGGGGATGACATCACTTTGGTGATGCAGGACCCTATGGTAGTCACTTGTTCTTTCCAAGATCAGCTTGTTGTTCCAACCAATCAGTGATGGTCACGTAGTTCCCATTGCGTGCTCATCTCTCAGGCCTTTTTTGTTGGAAGCTTTTGCAAACAAAGGAATGAGACCCAGAACTACAGTACACTTGGAGTAGATGGTTCCAGTCCAGAACACTTGATGATTGCTGGGCGGACGCCCTTCGGTCTGGACCTCGGACGTAAACCCAGTCCAGCACCTTCAGGAGACTGAAGTCTAGAGTCTATGGAGATTGAACTGAGAAGAAACTTAAGATTTATTGGATCTCCATTTCGTCTTCGCTACACCCCAGTCCGGCCCAGTCGGTCCCCGACCACATAGTGGAAGGAGAAGACTCCCGCCGCTGCCAGCAGAGTGGCCTGCAGCGGGAGCAGAACCTAGATCGCCTGGGGTGACCTGTGTGTAGGCCCAGGAGTCACGTCAGACGGGGTGGTGTATAGTCCCTAGGTGAGTGGAGTAGCTGGACACCCCGACTTCCTCCGTTCGTTCGGCACCCCTTTGGAACTGCTGGTATCAGTACAAACGTCCTGGAACGAGGGGCCAGTTCGAGGGATCCAGGGGTCGCAAAAAATCCGTTGTGACCAAGCAGTTTGTGTCCAACCACTAGGGAAACGCCATCCAGCCCAATTCGTGGAATAACGTCCACACATTCTCTGATGTCCCCCCAGGATCCATGAACACATTTGAGTTCCCATCAACTTTTCTAGGAGTTTCGCCTCTGGTGTTTTCGAGAAATTTTCAGCACCATCCTCCGCAGCGAAATCAAAGAGCCAACAAACAAACGCGCATCCATGCGTCGCGTCACCACTTGCCCATTCAAATGCTGAAGAAGCTCCGAAGGGTCTTTCGGTCCCGTCAGCGCAGCTGGGCACCCGACCAGCAAGAAAGTGAAGATCGCCAGCTGGGACTGGGCAGATCGCCATTGGTCGATGCAGCGCACGACTGAGCTGCAGGAGTCCAAATTGGGGCGAATTCGGAGATGGATGAAATAGCCGCTGAAGCTACAGATTTTTTGGGTTTGCACAGGTGTGAAAAGGCGGGATGACCCGATGACCCACTTGATCAATGTTTTGGCTGGTGCGCGCTGAAGGAGCACCGACCTGCGTCGCTCATGACAAGTCCAAAGACCCAGTACAACCTGGTCTTTTACCTGCTGGAGAACTGTTTTGGTATGACCAACTCCAGATCATACAAGTACGCATGCTACTCCATGCCTTTATGGCTTGCTTAGTTCTGCTTAGCCAAGAAAAAATTCCCCTCAGTGAGTGAAACTCAAGGTCATTATGACCATCAAATGAGAAGGCGTCCAAAGCGGGGCGGCCCCATCACAAGTGTTGTGTTCCATCCGTCGAGTGAAGTGGGGCCACCGCCCACCGAGCCGTGAAACACATCCCGTCAGACTCCACTCGGCCGCCGCCCACACACACGAGTAGCGTCCGATCGCTCCGTTCGTAGCGATGCCAGGAGCCCCTCTCAAGGCCGTGAGACTCGAAAAACCTCTCTTGGTCTTTACTCGTCGTGGGACTCGTGGGACTCATGGGACTCGGACCACGTGATCGTCCTGTCACGACGCGCCCAGCGCGTGGAGTTCGTCCGCGCTACGCAACGCCCAGCCTGGAAGAGCTTGGAGCGTCCGCTCGACCTCGGAAGATCAGTCATGTGGTCTGTTGAGGGTGTTGAGAAATCACTGGAGAACTAGTTTCTTAAGGGAATTTGAGAAAGGATCATCCTTTGCATTTCCACATGTTCTCATAACTATGACTTCCCCGTTCATTCTAGGTATGATTGGAGCACGACTTCCCAACTCTTCACTCAAGCCTTACTGTCCGTACTGTCCGCCCATCCCCTCCGCCTCACCCAGCCCGGACGCCCAGAAATCCGACCCCTCCCCTTCCATGTCACGTCATGCCCCTCGGAAGCCACGGGCTCCACCGGTCGGTCGGTGGGCCAATGCCCCAGCGCCCCGTTCGATGCATGGATAGCAGCGCGTTGGACGTCCAAGATGCACGCAGCTGATGAGGCCCAAGAGAAGGATCAACAAGGAGGGCACCAGCAGGAACCTCAGATGAAGGATCCTAAAGATCGTTTCACCAGAATAAAGGTGTTATTGACCAAATACCGGTGATGAACCCACTCCAAAAATGAAAACCCAGAAAGTGGAATTTGTTTATACCCCCGGAGTCGGGTACCTCTTGCATCACTTATTGTGAGCATGGCTTCAGGCTTTGCCCACGAGAACCTAGGTAGAGAGACCTCAAGTGAGTCCCCTCACAAAAAATGCTACACTCCCTAGAATCATCATGGAAGTGGCCTGGTTCCCTCTCAAAACCCAGTATGATGTGCTGTGGTGTGCCAAGTTCCTCCATGAGAGCCATGAGGCCATGAGATATAGTTGCCGCTACGGGCTATGGGAGGCTCCTTCAAGCCAATATATACTGTCTTCGATTTCTGTATCTGGTCCCATTTCTGTCGTAATGACGGTGAATGGTGCCCAACACCGCTTCCTGTCCTTGGTGCGGATGTTTGTCGGATTCAATCAAGGTCCCATGAATCATCCATGAATCCCTTTTTTGTGGAATCCTTTCGTGATGACTGAATCCTAAGATTCATGGTCTTCATGCAGCACATCTCTAAAAGAAAGCAAAGGAGTCACAAAATGTCCACCCTTTTTGTAGGGATCCTTCTAAATCAACTTGTTGATCTTCGTGGTCCTTCGTCTCGAACCCCACAGGACCGAGCAGAGCACGAGAGTGGGTATCGATACCGAAAACAAAAACCTTGCCGAATCCCAGATGATCGACTGCATGGAGAGTTTCGAAGAGGATGTTGGACAGACCCCAGCTACCACTGAGAAAGGGTGAAGATTTTGAAAGAGTGAATCGAAAGTCACACCCTGTCAACAAGTATGGGATGTCATTCTATCGTGCGAAAGAAAATCATGCCCACATGAGCCGCATCTCTTGTACTGGTTGTTTGTTTCTTCGGGTAGGAAGAAGTAGATTGATGCTTCAGTCATAGTAAGTATATAACATATCTCCCAGAAGTCCAGAACAAAAGAATATATATATATATTAACAAACTATCCCGGCAAGAGAAACTAAACAGAGTGTCTAGAGGTCTAAGGGCTACAAATTTAAAAGCAGAAGGTCTAGAGATCTACAGGTTGGCGCCAAGGCGTGTTCAAAGCCCTCATACTGGATTCCTCAGAACTGGGTAGGGTGGCCTCCCCTTCCTTCGAAGGGAGACGAGACAGCCTTGGCGTCGCGCATCGTTAACCTTTCTACTAGTCTTCTTCACGCATGTCCGTTATTAGCAGTCATGCTTTCAACCATTGAAAGCTGCGCTTTGCAGGCCACCCCTTCCAAGGGATGGCCACCCGTCTGCAGTCGAGCCTCACAAACCGGCTGCGTCGGCATACATTAAAGAAGGGATGGTCCAAGTGCAACTCTTCACTAAAACAATCATGGAAGTGGATAGCGGCCCCTGGAAAGACCGTGATACCCGAATACCAAACAGGGGGATTGTCCACTTCCATGTTTGTCGGGGGGTCAACTTGTTTAAAGGATATTAGATGTTGCTACGGTCAATATGCACTGATACTAACTGATCATTTATTTCAATATATGTGGATACCATGAAGATAAGGGGCGGTCACACTGGTTGCCGGCCTCATCTCTTCCAGTCTGACCACCTTACCGGACTCCCGTACGTCCGCCGGGTGGCCAGCCCACCTCCGGCACGAAGAGCGCGGTGACCTGTGACCGCGACAAATCGGATCGTCTAGCCCTTTGTCCAACTGATGTGTCCAACAATGTGCAACTCTTGGTGTAGGGTGCTTTGATGAAGATCTATGTGTCTTGATTTCAGGCTCATTCACTCCATTTTCCACCACAGGGTGTCTTGATCATCACGGGCCGCCCATTCCCACCGGCTCGAGACAGGCATAGGCAGCTAGCAGGGCGGCCAAGGCACCGCAGATCAGCGTGCACCTCGGCACGTTTCATGCGGACATAGATCAGAGCAGAATGAACGAGAGTTACCCTCCATCCAACAAACCTGGAAGTGGAACATGGCCCGTTGGAAGACTGTGTTCCCAGATGGTTGCAAGCTGTAAGGGGCTCTTACTTCTTGGAGGTGTGGCTCTGGATCGGCGATTTTTGGCGCCGCTGCTGCTGTGCTGCTCCTGCCTTGTCTCCCAGGTGTGTCTCCCTTCATGCTGTGGCTCTGGATCGCTGCGCTGTCGCTGCCGCTGCTGTGGCACTGCTGCCTTGTCTCCACTTGTCTCCTGACATGTCTCTTCACTTATCTGCCTGCGTGATTGCCATTTTGGTTTGCCGCTGCTGAGCCGCTTCTGACTTCTCTCCCCACTTGTCTCCTTACAAGTCTCCCTTGGTAGCCTGTGTGATCGCCGTTTTGTCTGCCGCTGTTGCCTTGTCTCCTTACTTGTCTCCCCATTTGTCTCTTCACTTGCCTCCCCGCTTGTCTGCCTGTCTCCTTACTTTTTGCTGCACTTGTTTGTCTGCGTGATCGGCGTTTTGTCTGTCGCCTTACATGTCTCCCCACTTGTCTTCCTGCCTGTTTGGTGTTTTGTCTGCTGCTGCTACCTTGTCTCCTTGCTTGTTCCCCCACGTCTCTTCCCACTTGTTTTGTTTGATCGCCATTTTGTTGTCACCTGACTTGTCTTCCCTTGTCTGGTTTAGTTTTACTTGGCTACTTACATAATGGATTTTTGTCCCACGTGCTTTTGTCTTTAGAGTTAGTTGCTTTCCGGGGTCTATGCCGGTGTAATCCTCTACTAACAGGCCGTTTTCCGCTTCCTTGATTTCTGGAGGGAGGGCATAGTGTTCCTGCGTGTGTTGCTGGTTTTCCCAGTTACCCGATTGACCGGAGCCGGTTGAACCGGCGGTTCCCGGTTGAACTGGTTGTTTCTCTATTACACCACGACAACGACCATCACCACCACGACGACGACCTAGGTACTAGTGTCTACAACGATGACCCCACCGTCTCCCATCTATCTTTCGCCCCTTCCAGGCTCCAGGCCATGCGTTACAGCGCACCGCCCTGGCGCCGCGAGAACATCCAACGCCGCATGGAAGCCCGGTCGGTCCAAACGCGACCAGGTTCTGAAGCCGTGTTTCTTGGTGTGGGAGGGGAGTGAACCGAACGTAGTCCTTTCATCCGGCTTAATCCGCAAAACTTTGGGTTGCACCCGTGCATGACCTTGCTGGGGACACACGTTACGGGGATCGTTTGGTTATTAGTAGCTGGGCATTGAGCTTTTGGAAAAAAAAGGAAGCAAAGGTCTTGGGGGTCCAAACACCTGTCCGGCTGTCCTTAAAATGGCCCCATGGAAAGTTAAAGGCCTTGAGACCCCGAAAAAGGACCTGGCCCATCGCCTCCTCCTCCACTTTCCTGTGTGCATCCATGTGCTGTGGGAATCGTCTACACTCCCTGAAGTGGATCGCACCATCTGTTGTTCATGGTCAGCCTTATGGGGGCTGGGGCCAGGGCCGTTCCGTCTTCCCGCCCCCCTCGACTCGAGTCGCACGCCTGCTGTCCTCGGCCTCGCGGGCTGTGTTTAGGGTGACCAGAGACCCTCCCAACATGGAAGTGAACACTCACTGATTTATGAAGGAATCTGTAGGTGAATGAAAACCCATCTATGTTTCTGGGACTGGCTGGATGGAGGCTTCGATTCTATGTTTCTACCACCCAAACTCCCTGCTTCTATCCACTTTCCTGTTTGTCGGGTGGGGGTGGGGTGCAAGACAAATTCCTGGATCATGAAAGGTTTACCCACCCTTGGAGGCGATTGTACTGCAAGATAGGCACCCTTTCCAGTCCGACCAAGATCGCTTGGGATCTATGTCTTCTTTCCCACCTTGGACGCTAAGTGTTCCACTAAACTGAACCAACTCGGAAGCGAAAGATTCACCACATTCAATTCCAAGGACGAACACTGCCAGGGTGTAGTGTTCCAAGCCAAAATCATCCAAAAATCGATCCATCGCTCCAGCATCGAAGTAGTGTTTTCTCTTGAGCCAATCGTCAGACCACCCAAGTAAACTGTTCACCAGCTGGTAACTTCAGAGCAGGTTTCCCTCCGGACTCACTGGAACTTGCCACTCGTGCGAGCTTGCTACTTCCTATGTTGGCGGATCATCCAAATCCCAATCCACACCCAATCAACTTCAGAAACCTTTATCATAAGTTCTCAAGTTCAAGTCCAAAATTGTCAGAACATCCTAAGAGATTGCTGATACGGATCCTGATCCAGCCATTGGTCGTTTGGGGATCTGTATGATCTACATCGAAACTTTCAAACGAACAGGCTGTGTTTGAGATCAGGTCTTCAAGCCTGATTCTCGGTGAAGGGGCCTTCCATAAAACGAGGGCTCTGGACAGAATGTGGGTTGTAGAAATTGAAAATGTGGAAATCAAAAAGTATCCAACTTGGTGTTTAAGTAAAACAACTGACAACTATCATGAAATGTCCCTCAACATTGGAGTCCCAAATGGCCACCGTTCTTTTCGATGGCGTCCCTGGCGGACTCCAGAGAAACCGCGCCATCGGGAGTCCGGCGCCATGCACACGCCCGGCCAGGAGGCGAGTGAAAGCATCAAGGTCGCCAGGTCGCTATGAGAATCTACAATGCTTGGGAAATGTGGATGTTCCAAAAAGATTGAACAAACATGCCAAACGTACGTCAGCGACTTAGCGATGGAGGACTTGAGTGTCCACCCATCTGTTCAAGATTCTACAACAATAATTGGACATCGGAACCCCAGGGCAGGGCCACATCGGAACCCCAGGGCCCACTGCTCAAGATTCTGACATGTTTTCCCTGACATGTGTTTGAGTTTCCACTTCCCATGCGCAGAGCCGGGTTTCTGTCTTCTCGGACTGTTTTGATCGAGACCTGCGCAGGCTATTCTCAGTGACAGGCTAATCTGAGCACTGCAGAGATGGTTTGATTTTGCCCTTTAAATGGGGACCACCCAAGGTGTTCTAAAAAGCCGGGTGGATTATTGATTCTGAGACACATCCCCTTGAGTGCTTGTGGATTTACAACTTCATTGTGGTACCCCTTGCGTCCTGCTTAAGGGAGCATGGAGAAGTCTTCCAACCAGCTGGGAGCCGTATCAAATCAACGCTTGGAGTTGCAGTGGCAGGTGGAAGCTATGACATCATCACATGCACTCAAACTGTCTGCCATTCTAGTGGTTAGGCGTGGCTAGCCTATGCGGCCAAACAAGCTCATGACCTCTACGCGATTCACAAAAATCTTTCAAGCTCTGTGCTCAAGTTTCTTATGCATCGACATCCCACGGCACACAGAAAATGGTCAAATCGGAAACGACTAAATGAACACGCCTTGCGCATCCTTTTTCGAAACAAGCCACCTTCAACAAGTACCAGTTTTCAGCCTACACGTGTGCCAGTGAATCTGGGCCAGCTTGCAGGTTGTAGCTTCTGGACCAGATCCCAACTACTTGGACTGGTCGACCCTGAGGCTCGGAAAGCTTCGTTCCAAACTAGGTCTGGCCCGCTCGTACCCAGGTTGATTCGAAAATCCGAGGAGGAGGACCTTTTGGAAGTTGCTTGCTTTTGGGATGTGTGGATCCGCTCTCCAATCTGAGCGTACTTTAAGCATACTTTGCTTCATGAATAAAGATCAAACAGTCCCTGGAAGACGATTCTGCAAACACCAAAACGACTCGTTGACCATCCATGTAGGAGCAACTGCGAAGGGCTTTGGCTCAAAGTATCAGGCTCCAAAACCGGAAGCTGTTGAGAAAAAAACCCTTGAAACAACGAGCGCTTATTCATCCCATTTCTGAGAGAGACACAACACTATCCGGACCGAACAACTCAGAAGCACCCATTTTTCTTCCGCACGTGCGGCGCGTGCGGAAGATGCTGCATGCCCCAAATGCCTGCGGTGCAAAGGCTGTACACCGTGTCACCCCCTCGCTCACCCAAGCTGAAGCGAACACAAACAGAAAAGACGACCTGGTCAGGATAGGGCGACCTGCTACTTATTGAAAACAATCCACTCTGGATGCTTGAAAGTCCCTTTTTCCTGGCCATGGCTCCACCTCGTGGCTTCTCTGTAAGTTCGAGAATGATTTCGCACACCCGACCTGGGAGAGCCCACGGTCGTTTCACACCGATGGCTAGTTGTCGATGCCAAGTTCATGAGCAACTGGCGTAGTTCAAACATCCCGAGTGGATTGTCTTCGATCAAATCGGGTGGCCAAGACTGTGTGGGTCGCTGATGTGTTTAATTTGCCACCTGCATCGGGGGTGAAGGAAGTTGCACCATGTTCCCAAGTAGATGTTTATGTGTACCCAATGTGTCAATATACCCAGAAGTGCACCTTAAATTGAACCTCTAAACTACCAATTGTGGCACCTTCTTCCAGGATGCCTAATGACAGCCCGCCTCTTAAAAGCCAAGAAAGAACCCTTCAAACCAACACCAAGATGAGGTTTGCCTTAAAGTGGGAAACACTGGAGACCCCCGGCAAGTGCTTTTGGATGCAAGTTGTTTACAGTTTATGTGTGTGTGTGTGTGTTTGTGTTTTTTATGAAGAAGTCTCTTGGACACTGCCATCTCTTCCACACCCATCTCACCCACCCATGTCACCCACCGCCTTACGCAAGTGAAGCGCTCAGGAATGCTGCCAGGCCCTTGGCATGTGCAAGTTCCTTCACACTTTGACCTCGAACAGCCGAACAAAAATTGTACCGCCGCGGTTTGCGGCAGGCCCGAACAGTGTGGCATGCTGCATGCTTCGTGGCGCGGGCTTCGTGGCCCGGCGTGACTGCTTATTTTAGGAGTGCTCGGACCATTGGTCACAACTGCCAGGGACACCCGAGTTCTGTTTGAATAGGGACATCTCCTCTACACTTTCCAAGCAGCTTCCATTGAAAGCATAGGAGCACCCATCTTCAGAATGAAGCAGCCAATGTTTGCAGTCTTTTCAAGGTGGACATTCCATTGGCACGTGCTCTCCCCACCGTCCCCACCAAGCCGACCTTGGCTGTTCTTGGCATCTACATCAGCTCGTGCAGCCACCAGCAGCTGTGCCACAGAGGCGCTGCCGCGGCGCCGGCGTGGTGAGGAAGGCTCGGTGGCGGCGTTCGGGAAGACCAGGTGTAGCGGCGTCTCACCTGAGGCCAGACGAATTCATGCCGACCTGTACGGGCCCCACATGAATCTGAAAGTGAGAGGTCAGGTCGTCTCCACTTTGAGAGATGGAAGGAGACTCTTCGCCCAACAAAACGTCCAAAGGAAAGCAACAGCGGACAGTTGTGAACACGTCGGACGTGTTCAATTCCAATGTATGTACCTAGAACATCCTAGAATTTCAGTGACTCCGCATGACTCCGTGACCCCGTCTTTTGAAGCCAAAGCATGATCTCTTCCTATCAACAGTGGTCATGTCTGGGTCGCACAGGTGTCACAGGGTTCCGACCCAACCGACCCTCTCACACCATCCGACCGACCCGATCGACTCCCTCCGGGCCTCTTCGGCTTTGTGCATTCAGGCTGGCACCTGCTGTCACCAGCAGCCGGAGCAGCTCGCAGTGCTTCTCCTTGGCCGCGAAGTGCAGTGCCACTTCACCTGAGTGCGAAGAAGTCAGCAGAGTGGGCAACATCGGGTTTCAGAGTTCCTAAAAGAATCGAAAACAACACCATGTTCAACCCACTTGTAGAGCTGTACCTTATTAGGGTCACTTGGATTATCCAAAAATGTTTCATTGGTTGGTGTTCACTTATTTGGGATACTGTAATTTCATTCGATCCACTGTAAGGGCGCGACTGCCTTTTTCCTGCCGGGATTCTGACGCTTTGCTTCGTTGGTACTGACCCTGTCTGCGACCCGGGCTGTTTCACCCGATCGAGCTGTTGAAAGCGCTTCACCCTGTCAGGCTGTTTCTATTTTCTCTCTTCGTCCCCTCAGCTCCTAGCCCTGCGAACCCTGCGGACCCTGCGGGGCTGAGGTGATGTTTGATAGCTCTTCTCAGATTCCCAGAAGAACAATGATCACATGTGTGAAGCCCAAGTAAGTGACCACCTTCCCCGTCCACGCAGATTGAAGGCCTTGAATCGACCCAACAAACAGCATCCACCCAACCAACCAACCAACCAACCAAGCAAGCAAGCAAGCAAGCAACCAACCAACCAACCAACCAAACACCAAACCACCCACCCACCCACCCACCAACCAACCAACCAACCAATCGCCTACAACAGCACCGACCCAACCCATCCATTCCTTCAACCATTTCTCCAAGTTTTCTGCCAAGACCATTTCAACCACTTCTCCAAATCCTCCTGCATCACCCTCTCTTGCCTGGCACGCAGAAAAGCTGGGCACCCGTGCCATCCTTCTCAGTGGTCGCATTCACCGCAGCCGCAGCCTCCAGCAGCCGGCGCGCCGTGTCGCAGTTGCCCTGCTGGGCGGCCAAGTGCAGTGGCAAGCAGCCTCAGCTGGACCGCCCAGGGACCGCCCAGTCGAGTGAAAGGTGTCACCCCCCGCGTGGTCCTTTCACCGTCGGCGCCCCGCGCCAAAACGGGCGCTTTGATGTGAAGATCCAAAGATCTAGAGGACCGAAACATCCTCAACAGTTGTGCTCAAGCATCAAACGAAGAGTTAAACAATTTGGATGCTATTCCAAAGCACCAAAAATCTGGAGCAAAAAGCTTGCTGCTGCGCGGCTGCGCCAACCTCACACACTCACCTCCAGGATTGCTTGGCCCCTGGCTTACTTACTGCAGGGCTTACTCTGCTATGAAGACCCTCAAAGCCTGCCATACGGATATGGCTCATGATCCACCATTCTTGAATCACTCTCCCATTACAATCCAATCCGGTTGTTCAGTTCAATCAAACAGCTGAAATGAGCTTTTGATACAGGTTGGCGTTTTCGTGCAGCCGCATGTTAACATGTTGGGAGCTCGGCAATACCTCCTTCGCCTAACTACATTGCTTTCCCGCCGGCTAAACCTGCTGCTCTCCGATCCGCGTCTTTTACCGGATTTGAGTCTAGATAGGTCCTTTGCGGTAGATAAATTCAATGATTGTGTACATACAGCAGTAGCCGCAGTAGCCTGTTGTTCTTACCACCAAAACCCCAGTACCCCACCATGACCAAAACCTACCGCGCCAAGCTCTAGGCTCCCACGCCGTACACGTTGGGCGCCTCCAGCACGGCCCGGGCCGCCAGCAGCGCCGCGACGGCGGCGCCGTGGCCGCGCTGCGCGGCGAAGTGCAACGCGGTGGAACCGTTCGTCGGGGTGTTGGAGCCTCGGGGCGGGCACATCCAGCAGATGCAGATGTGAAGATGGGCTGGGAAGATGATGGGAAGATGATGGGGATGGAGGGTGGGAGATGGGAGGGTGAGAAGGGTGATGAATTTGGGACCCCTCTCTCTCTCTCGCTCTCTGTCAGCACTTCTCTCCTACTTTTGTTCATGCTGCAAATACTCAGTCTCAAACGCTTGCCCTCTTCAATCAGCTGTGCTGAACCTACTTGGTCTCGGGCCGGTCTTCTCGTCCACCATCGCTTTGAAGTGCAAGAGTAGCTGAACCGCTCCAACATGGCCCTGCTGCGCCGCAAGATGCAGCGAGGTCTCACCT